AGACTCTGGAAGAAAGTCGGGCTTTCTCCTCTCTTACAGAGGTACAAGTGTTAGAAACTGCCAGGGGCACTTGCATCAACTCACTAGCAGAGAGTTTAATTTTTTCCCCTATTCTTTGGAAAACCTGAAGATTTCCATGTTGTGTCTCCAAATAAAAAAGGTAATAAAGTAAATTTTTTTACAAAATCAAAAGTTATGCAAATAACTTCTATAAAATAATTTAAACATGGGACAAAAATAAAAATAAAACTTGAATATGTTAATTTACTTTCCATTACAAGTCATCTAAAATTACAAAAAGGTATTATATTATATCAGAATGCATAAACATTGAGTTAGTAGATTTAATAAAAGATAATACAAAAATAATAAGTGTAATAGAAAAAATGCATGAGGGTATATTAAAATTAATCCTTTTGAATTATGGAAACACATTCAGAAAATAATTAAAAGGAAACCCTGAGTAGGTGACTGTAGTTGAAATACATAGCTACAACCAAGACTTTTACTTGGAATATATAATGAGTACCATTGCACCAAATAAAGAAAAAGACAGTCCAATAGAAAATGGTCTAATGATTTGAATAGATACTTCACAATGGAAACATAATATGGTCAAATAGAATCTAAGAATGGTCTCGACTTTGTCCTGCAGTTGTCAGGTGCCACAAGCAACATAATTCAAAGGCACCAATTCTTCTTCAGTGGACTGTATTCAATGCCCACCTTTCATAAGCATCTGAGGCAACTGAAAATATCATGCCTTGCTGCAGGCACATCTTGGCCCTCAAAGTAATTGGCTTGCTTTTTAACATTTACAAAACCTTTTTTTTTTTTTTTTTACAAAACCTTTTGTGTAGCAGAATTACCTAATGCAATGTGCTCTGTGGTCTCTTGATTTCTGCTTCCATGAGCATTGATTGTGGATCCTAGCAAGACACAATCCTTGGCAATTTCCTTATTGTATCCATCTATCATGTTAGCTATTTATTCACTTGTGAGGATTCTGGATTTTTTTTACACTGAGTTGTAATCTACTCTGAAGGATACAATCCTTGATTTTGATCAGCAGTACTTACTTCACATCCTCCAAGTCTTCAGCAAGCAAAGTGGTGCCATCTGCATACAACAGGTTGAAATTTTTCCTACTGTCATTACTTCTTGCATACATGTTTCTTCATGAATGTACAGTTTCCAGACAAGCACGATCACGTCTTCTATTTTTCACTATCATGGAACTGATTTAGATTCACAGGGATCTTGTAGAAAGTTTCCAAGACTGTTAACATTTACGGGAGCAGACAGCCTCATTTTTCTCCTGTGGTGTAGCTTGTGGTTTTGAGCTGGCAGTCTTGTGGTTATCAGCACAACACCTTATTACAAATTCTTGCATTTATTTTTTCACAATGCTTTGATCAACAGTCAAATGCCTTTACATAATCAATGAAGCACAGGTAAATATCACTCTGGTATGCTTTCCTCCAAACTAAGGTCCATCTGACATCAATAATGATATCCTGGGCTGCACGTTCTGTTCTAAATCCATCTTGAATCCCTACTGATATATTATTGCAACTGGTTTTTGAATTATCTTCAGGAAAACTTTACATTTATGTGATATTAATAATATTAAACAATCTTCATATTCTATTATATCACCTTTTCTGGAACTGTCACAAATATGTATCTCTTTCCCTCAGTTTGGCCTGGAAAATGTCTTCAAACTTGCTTGTCCATGACTCTGCTTGGTATTTGTCCTCATGAGGAGATTATTAAAGATATGTGTGCCATATCAAAGTTTTGGGAAGAAATTAGATGATGCTTGTTGATCAGAAAAAAAATGTGTCTGGGGTCTTAATGGCTTGTCTCAAATATCCAGTCATCTTCTAAGGGAGGAGATGGCTAAGTCCACATGGAAGAAACATACCAGCCTGTGTGAATCAAGGATTGTGAATAATACACAACAAATCCAGGTGGAGAAATGGTAGAGTTTAAATTTATAACATCCAATTTACTGAAACCAATGGATTTTAGAGGAAGCCAAAAATCCATTGTAGGGTCCCTATAAGGATTGAGTTTCTGGTAAATACCCGCTGACCATTGTCTAGGAAGGTGAATAGCCTTGATATCAGACAAAGAGCATTGTAACATGTATTTTAGAAGCTACACTTACAGTGGGCAGCACTTGTCTGTCAGTTTGCTGAACTGTGGAGGTTTTTGTGTTGCTCTGATGATCTTTTGGGGTTGTTTTTCTTGTTTTTTAATTTCAGAAAAGGCAAGTGTGCTGAAAAGTTTT